CAGAGTTATGGAGGCATAAATATTTCTGTGAATCCATCTTGATACCTGGATACAAGCTTGCGTCCCCATTTTGCCGGAAACATCATGAAGGTGGCAGAGTCGGAATTTTTATAATAGAAAATATAGAGTTTCTAGAGAGGGTGGACATTGTTAATTTTTCTGTAGAATTCGTAATTGAACTATGTGCCCTTGAGATTCCAGATTTGAATTGTCTTATCATAAGTATATATAGAGCGGATCGTCACATTGATATATTTTTTGAACAAATGGTAAAAATGTTGAGCAAATTAAATTTAAAAGAATCGTCTAAGCACATTTTTTTTAATATTAACATATTAAGCAAAACTAAAAATGCAACAGATTTAAATAACCTTATGTTATCACATTTTTACCAGCAGATAAATGAACCAACTCGCGTTACTAAAACAACAAGCTCTTGTATCGACTTGCTATTTTCAAACCGTAAAGACGCAATTAAAAATAGTTATGTTAAAGATAACGGAATATCAGACCACAGATCTATTTACATAACTTTAAAAACTTTTAATAAAAATAATAATATAAACAATTGGAAAGTAAAGAAAAGATTTTTTTCAAAACAAAATATATCTAACTTTAAAGATTTATTAGTACAAATAGATTGGGACATATACTTAAAAAATACAAAAACAGTTAATGAAAATTACGAGTCTTTTATTAATATAATAATTTCATTATTAAATGAGCACATTCCAGAACAAATTATATGTATTAAAAATAAACCCCCGAAACGATGGCTTACACCAAGCATAAAAATATCTTGTAAACATAAAAGAATATTAAGAATAATTTTGAATGAAACTAATAGTAACGTTATAAGAAAATATTACAAACTATATTCAAAAACTCTAAAACGTAGTATTCAAATATCAAAAAAGAAACAGTTTATATCACAAATGTCAAATTCAGAAAATAAAACAAAAAATATGTGGAAAATTATAAATAATAAAACCGACAAAACTAAAGATAATGGACATAAAAACATAACCCTAAAAATAAAAGATAAAGAAATAGTATGTCCAAAAACCATATGTAATCTATTTAACAAATATTTTACGAGTATAGGCGAAAACGTATCTAATGCGTCTAATAATTTAAATACATTGCCAACAGTTTGCTCACCAATAAATTCTATTTATCTAAGCCCAGTAGATAGCAAAGAAATTAATAAAATAATAAAATCAATGAAAAACAAATATAGCTGTGGCATGGATGGCATACCCCTGTATTGATTAAACAATGCGCAGAAACACTTTCGTCACCATTGAGTTTTTTAATAAATCAAAGCTTTGCCGTTGGCTCCTTCCCTGACCAATTAAAAATGTCAATTGTAAAACCCCTTTACAAAAAAGGAGACAAAACCAACCTTAACAATTATAGGCCAATAGCCCTATTACCCGCGTTCTCCAAGGTCTATGAAAAAGCAATGCTCATTCGCTTAAACAATTTTTTTGAAAAGCAAAAGATATTGGATGATTGCCAAAATGGTTTCCGAAAATCTAAATCCACCACTACAAATGGCCATTCAACATGTCAATGATAAAGCATATTCTATAGGTTTATTACTTGATATGACAAAGGCATACGATAGGGTGTCGTACAGTATATTGCTTCAGAAACTTTATAGGTCTGCGTCCTTAGACCTTTTTGTCGGGTCATAAGTATCAGGCTGAAACTTTCTAGATCGCTTCATTTCAGTGAGTCGGACAAACTTTTTATTTGATAAAAATCTCGGTAGTGGGGACTAATTTTGCTAAAGGCCTTGAAACATGTCGATAAGTCCGGGTGCCAAAAATTTACTAATACCAAGCCGATTCTTACTGAAATTTAAAGAATAATTTATGAGAAAGTCGAAAAGTAGATTGTCCGACAAAATTTATGGGGATAAGCGCCAGTCCGACACTCGAAAAATGTCGAAAATACCAGCACAAAAAAATGATTAATACTTGTCGGACATACATGAGTAATTGTAGATAAGATCATTTATAACCGAAATATAGTGATATCCGACAAAAATAATGGGTCATATCGCTAGTCCGACAAGATTAGTCTAACCGCAAAAAAACTATATCTATATATACACTCTTAGAAACGGCAGTATATCTATATGTGGATTTCGCTTTCGAGAGCTCTGTTAGTGTATCTGTCGCACTATATAGGGTGAAATTGAATGTTTTAATGAAACTTCGTGAGATTGTTGGGTTACGAGTATAGAGTATGCCTGATTTTTTTCGGATTTTTTTGAAGTATTTTTTTTCATGTATTTATTTATAATTTGTGTATTTTTTTGTCCTTTCCTCCTTTTGAGTAGTTATTCATATTAAACAAACATGCTTACATATCCAGTGAAAAACAACTAATAAATAAGCACTTCTAAAAAACGGAAAAACAGTAAAATTCCACCGCGGGTCAACGACCGACCGCGCCCGCCAGCCGTTGAGTGAGTAGGTACGTACACAGAGCTCAGCTGACTCGTTTGATTCCACACAATACAATAAAATCGTCTTAGATGCCTCTATTGAAATTGAAATAATAAGCACAAATGTCATCTTCTCTTAAGCAGAGAAAAACTTAAAAAGTTAATAATAATTTTGTCACGATTGGAAATAGGCAAAAGTTAAACAAAAAGAAATACTTATTGCAGTTCAATACTTGGGTCAGAATGAAATTTATTACAAGGTATTCAAAAGTACTTACGAGACCGATGTACCTATTAATTTTTTTCTCTATAACTTCCCAATAAATCACCAAACCTACTTTCGTAAAGCCTTGTGGCTCTGCTGAGTATTCCGTGACACTCGCAATAACAACACACCATATCCAAATTCTTATATTGAGGGCACAGAACAAGAACTAATCAAGGCATTATTTGCAAATCTTGTCTTGTCACAAATTTAAAAGATACGCACGCGCGCTTGTGACTCCGCTCGCTCACTGCGCTGTGCACCGCGCATACCTAAATAGGTAGGCAGGAAGGTATTCAACGGCGGGAGCGGTCATTGCTCCCGGCCGCCCGTCTCCTGTATTTACGTCTTTTTAGTAGTGTTTATTACTTGTTTTTTACTTACTCTGTATGCATGTTTTAAAAGAATAATTATTTAGTACCCAAAAGGAGGAAAGGACTTAAAATATAACAAAAAAAAAAACAAAATTTTATTTTAAATCATTTTTTAAAAAATCCGAAAAAATTCAGAGATACTCTATATACGTAACCCAACATTCCCACGAAGTTTCATTAAAACATTCAATTTCACCCTGTATAGTATACATGAGGTTTTAACTTCTCTACCACAATTAGAAATTTGTGAATAAATGTAGCTGTACTTGGCTCAAGTTTAATGTATAAACTTTTTTTTAAGCTACCCTTTTTGTTTCTAATTAGATAATCTTAGAAAAATAATATAAATTTATGTTGTTTGATAAATAAAATATTAGTTTTATTATCACACATTTAGAAGTTTTTCATAAGACTTGACTCAAAAAAATTGGCAAAAAAAAAATTACTTCTCAAATTTATCAATTTTAATTGATAATATTGAAAAAACTATTAAATATCTAAGTAGTATATGTACAACAAATGGTTTAAGAAGGCTACGACTTCTACCGCGCGTGGTTTCCACACGCTCAATTTTTTGCTAATATAACGTATTAGCAAAAAACTCATGGAGTCAAGCGATAAATTTTTTCTTGTTTTCTTCTAAATCATACATAAGACATGTCAAAATACGAGCTTACAGATTTTTTTAGGAGGATTCGTATAATATTAAAAAAATGGAAGCTATACACGCCTTTTAAAATTTAAATTTAAATTGTAGATTTTTGAGGTTTACATTTTTGGTTACTATTTTATTTTTGTTAAATTCTAATAATAGTTAACTTAAGGAGAGATTAAAGATAGAAGACATGTAAAAAAATATTTGTTTATGGTTTGAAGCAAAGGTTTTGTATTATGAAAAAATAGTTTTTTTTTTAATTATTACTGTATCTTATAAAAATTGGAATCTTAAGAAACATCTGCTTTTCAATGTCATTTAAAAATAGAACACTTTTTATAACGGCAAATTTTTAATTAGAATACAAGAGAGGATAGAAAATAAAAGTAAGTAAAAAATTATTTATTTACGAATGTTTAAAAAAAAATTAATTATTAATAGTTTTTCTTTATTATGTCTAATCGAAATCGTTGTGATCTGTTTCTTCATTATCGGATTCTTCATATGCTGTGTGGCTGCGTGCATGTGAATAGGTTATGGATGCCACGCGGCCAGTGTGTTTGTAACTACTGGGTACCTATAGTGCGCTCTCTGCCCCATCATCTTTCTCACTCACTTTCATGCAGCCAAACACAGAACAGAAACACACAGACAGCATTCAGGGAGAGAGGGGAGATATATATATAGGTATACTTAAATGCTGTATACAGAACGAATAATTTTAATAGATATATTATCGATTTTTATTAGTATTCCCCACATTTCTTGTCGGACAATCGTAGAATCACATTTGAAACATTATTTTATTATTGAAAAAATAAAAATTAGGTTGATATCAATCACTTTTTTGTGCTGGTATTTTCGACATTTTTCGAGTGTCGGACTGGCGCTTATCCCCATAAATTTTGTCGGACAACGTTACAGTTGTATTATATTAATCTTTATGAACCCATAAAAGAATTTAGCCTGATATTAATCACTTTTTTGAGTTGGAATTTCCAACATGTCCGACTGGCGCATAGTCCCCATTAATTTAGTCGGACAATCTACTTTTTGACTTTTTCATAAATTAATCTTTAAATTTCAGTAAGAATCGGCTTGGTATTAGTAAATTTTTGGCACCCGGACTTATCGACATGTTTCAAGGCCTCTAGCAAAATTAGTCCCCACTACCGAGATTTTTGTCAAATAAAAAGTTTGTCCGACTCACTGAAATGAAGCGATCTAGAAAGTTTCAGCCTGATACTTATGACCCGACAAAAAGGTCTAAGGATGCAGACCTATTATAATTCAGGTATACGAGGTCCGGCGTACCTTTGGTTTCAGTCTTACCTCAACAGTAGGAAACAAATTGTGGAAATCCTGCATCATGATAAGGATACAACTGAAATCCAAACAATACAGTCGGATATCATGGATTTAACGTGCTCTATACCACAAGGGACCGTTTTAGGATGTATGCTATTCTTAGCCTACATAAACGACTTATCAAAATTTTTGATTAGCGAATCTGTACAACCTGTACTTTTTGCCGACGATATATCAATTTTAATAAAAAGTAATAGTGTTGGTAATATGAGTCAAATAACAAACGAAACCCTGGAATTAGTAACGCTTTGGTTACAAAATCATAATTTAGAAATTAATAACGAAAAAACTAAAGTTATGGAGTTTAGATCATACGGAAAGCCTCCTTTAAATTTAAAAATTAATTATCGAAACGCAGATCTCGAAACTGTAGAATCGTTTAATTTGCTCGGTATGACCATTGACACGCACTTAAATTGGAAGTCCCACGTAGAATCCATTAAATGTAAGCTTGCTAAGTTCACATATGCTCTATATCAATTAAAACAATGTACAAATACAGACACGGCGTTATCTGCGTATTATGCATATGCGTATTCATGGCTAAGGTACGGAATAATGCTATGGGGAAACGGCACAACTGCTAACGAGCTCTTTATAATGCAAAAGAAATGTATACGTATCACAGCCCACATAGACAATACGGAAAGCTGCAGACCATATTTTATAAAATACAAAATCTTGACTTTACCATCCATATATATCCTAGACATATCACTAATCGTACATCAAAATTTAGACGTATTTAAAAAAGTTGACGAAACACATAATATAAATACACGGCACAAAAGTCGATTATATTTACCACCATCTCGATTGAGAAAACTTAGTAGCAGTCCATATTATATGTGTATAAAAATTTATAATAAATTACCCGCTGACATAAAAAACGAAAAATTTTTTAACCAATTTAGGACAAAATTGAAAATATATTTATTAGATAAATGCTTTTACACCATAGATGAATACTTTTCAACAAAATAATATTAATGAGGCGATCTTTAAAATACAAACCTAGATTATTATAATCATGTTTATTGACATATTATTTGATTTTTATTGACATATTTACTAATTTTAATTATTGACAAATTTAATTTTATAAACGAATACCCATAATAATAATTAGAAAATTAAACTAGTACTGTAAATAAGATCAATTGAGTGAGTTATAAAATTAATGAAATCAGATGACATTTATGCATGCTTTAAGAAAAAAAAGTTGTTTAATAAAAATTAGGTTCTCCATATAGATAATTGTTTATTTGTTAAATTCTCTTTTGTAATTTTTATCTATATTGCGATACCCTGACAGGGTTCATGTTAGGTACTTTATGCAATACGTAACTTGTAACTTGTAGATGTGTCCAGAAGTGTATACATATGTAAATCTCCACAATCAGATTCAAAACAATCACAATGATTTTCATTTTCTTCTTTGTTATTTTCATCTACATGACTTTCATACAAAATATTACAATACCGTTTTAATGAAGGCTCATTTTTCCGGTCATCTCCAAGCTGCTTTTTTAATAAACTTTCAACATCCTTCTTTTTAGCACCTTTGATTAAGTGCCCCAATTATTTCTCTACTAAGTTAACATTGCTTAGGTTAATTTTCCGCTTTAAGAGATATATTCCCTTTTCTTCTGTATTACTTTGAAAATATAAAGTTTTGAAAAGTTTTAACTATTGCTTCAGTTCCATTTCTTGTAATCTAGGACTAGACTAGGTACAAATTTATTCAATAGCGCTTTAACAATATTTTAAAATCGATTCATTTTTTTGGGTAAAATGTACCCGGTTTGAACCGACTAAAGACTCTTCAAACATATTTCTTAAGAATATGTCACTTTTTGAATTCGATTCTTAAAAATCACTGTGATTGAATAAAAATGTAACTTTTTGTTCCGAAAGCAGCACTTCACATCGATTTTTTTTAAGAAACTACTGACTTTTTCCAAAAAAAATTTGGGAGTTACAGATAGAATTTAACATTTTGAGTCGATTAAAATAAAAAAACTGAATTGAGCAAAATACGTAAATGACGCTTTTTGTTCCTAAGCTCCTCACATAGAAAAAGATGACTGTGAGGTAGGTTCATATATACTGAAAAATTCCTTAAAAGCAATGACATGTAATATATACACAGTTTATACATTATTGCATTTTAAAATGGCAAAAGTAGTGCCCGCCCCGATTTCCCTTGGCAACAGCTGCCAATAGAGTGCACTAAAGTAGTCTCTTTCACTCTCAATAATAAAGCGATTACCTCGCTCTTCTTGTCAATAGTATCAGCAACTGTCAAAATAAGTAATCACTAAATATTTTAGATTAATTTCTTAAAAACTGTACTTTGAATAAAATGGCACGTTTCTCTTGTTTCTAATAGTTCCCGTGTATTTTGTATACTATCTAAAAACACACATAGAGCTTTTTGTTTGGTAAAACGTAGAATATTTAGGTACACATTGTAGCAAAGTGTAGCCGTGTCGAAAGAGCGTGTCCGACTGAATGCAAGTCGGGCAATTACCCGACTTTCGTATTGCGAAATTGGAAGTGTGTATGACGTATCTATAACTTTCAAACATCATAGGTTAAAAGAATATGTGGAGTTTATTTGATTTTAGTCCACATCGGGCCGTGTAGTTCTTAGTTTATTTAGATAGTTCTCAAAATTTGTTATTGTGGTCAGATTCTTGCAGGGGGAAAAAATTTCTAAATTTTTTATATATCTTATTCGTCAAAATAAGACATGATCTGGGAGAAGTTATACTCAATTTAAATACATTAAGCCGAAAAACTACTTTAAATGGATTCATGTTGGAGATTATGGTACATATTTTTACAAGATCAGCGATGATCTCGATAAACCATTACTAGAAGTGTCTCTCTATTAAAGAAATCAAGTATTATCCGAATTTTTATAACATGTAATAATCAAAAGGGTATAAATTGTCTATAGAAAAAATTGCTTATATAAATACACAGCAATATACCACTGAGACTCTTTCTGTCCCTCTCAATGGTGTTATTTAAAAGTATTTAACAATATTATGTTGTGGTACCTCCTACCATTTTGTAAAAAAAATAGAAATAAAGCTATTTCATGTAAATTATGTTTATTCTTTTGTTTTTCACTTAAGACCTTTTTAAGTTAATGTGATCTAAATATGATTTATATTAAATTAAGCAAAGGTGTTATGTTAATATTTTCCCTATATTTTAATAAATATAATTAAAACAACATTTTCTTCTATACAATCTATAAATTAATAGTATTTTCAAAAGTAATAATACTAAAGTTTTCTATAAAACTTTAAGCTGTTATAGCTACATTGATTTTATTATTTAACATTTTCAAGCACTCATAACTCATTTTGAACTTTTTGTTATAACATTTTTGTCCACTCACCCCTTCAATTTTTTTAATATTAAATAAACTTAGTATTTAACTTCATTTAATTTAATTCAAGTTAATTATGTTTGACCTGTTAATTCGATTTGATTTACTTTAGCTTGATATGATATGATTATGAATTGACTATGATGATATGATATAATTTGACTTGATTAATTTATTTTTATTTAATTTTTTAATTGGTTAAATTTGATTGATTTTATTTAAATTTGGTTGGACCTGATTTGATTTATTTTGAATTAACCTACAACATTTATGCGCCGCAAAATTAATGTGTATAACGTGAAGCTTACTTTGTTGCAACAATGTCATGTACCACTCACTATTAGCTATGTAAGACGTTATAATGTACATGTGCAACGTGAAATAATAAATAGATGACAGTAGTCCTGGAAAAAGCTAAAAATGAGTATTATGTAAAAAATATACGTATTTTGGGGCAAAAGCGCAAAAACGTATTAAATACAAAGCTATGTGCGGACTAATTTTTAACATTTTTTCGGAGGACTGCTGAAAAATAGAAATTTGTTAATTTGTTCATTAATAAAAATAGGAAAAGCATTGTCGAATATGGGGGAACCTAGGAGACGGAGTGATTTATTATCAAGAATTTTAATATTGGGAGCTAAAGGCGAAAATTTGGTAATAATGATCTTAATTTTAATTGATCCGGTGAAAATTTTGATTCAGGAATAAAAAGCTCGCATTTTGAATAATTTTGATCAAGGCCAATATTTTTAAACCTATCAATAACAACGTGAAAATCTGAAACAACTGTTGAAAAATCGCCAGCGATAGTTCCGTCATCGAGGTACCACACATTAAATTTTGAATTTTGAAATTTGAATTTAGCGAATCAATAATAGGTTGTATTGCCAAACTAATAAAACAATTGATCGCCTTGCTGACAGCTAACAGATGAATGCAAAAACTTATTTTTAAATATAGGTTTGCTAAAGCATTGCCAAAGATAATTATAGATAGTGTGAGATTTTTCCTTAATTACTGAAAGCAAGGCACCACTATCTACGGAGTTGAAGGCGTTCTTCACATCCACCTTCAGCACCACCGCCGCCGCATCAAGCGATAGAAAGGTGCGAAGAGCGTGAACGGCTGCTTCACAACCACCTTTTACTTTGGCGTCAAAGGTGCTTGCCAAGCTGAACCGGTTGGAAAACAGCTGAAAGTGTACGTATCTTCATACCGCCATAAAAATAGCGGCAGGTGGTAGAAGAGCAAAATTTAGAGTTGTATGTATTTTTTAATACCACATTATAAAAAAATAAATATTGTGATAAAAATATTTTAGGGGTGTGTAACGTAATGTTCTATCAATTTCCTAGGATAACATTCCTCCTAACCCATATAAGAACACTACGTTACAATACCCAATAGTTAGAATTTTGTCGCGAAGGCGCATTGTAGGCTTCAGAACACTACGTTACAGGTGGACAACCATTATCACTTAAGGATATGAGAAATAGATAGTAGCTGATTCGCAGACCTACGGAATATGCATATAAAATTTCATAAAAATCGGTCAGGCCGTTTCGAAGGAGTATGGTAACTAACATTGTGACACGAGAATTTTATATATAAGATGTTAACATTTCTGCTCAACTCTCAGGCGTGTTTACTCTAAGCACATGTTCGATACATAGTGATAAAGAAACAGCGACTGAGGGCCGTGCAGAAAGAGGTATTCTTTTTATAACTGCAACTGCATTTTTGAGATTACCAACAGTTTGGCAAAGTGGTTCGTTACCTGAATTTACAGATGGAGAAACTGCGGGCACAGAGGCAGAAGATTTATGAAGCCTGCCAATGTGTATATTTAAGCCCCGGTTACCTTTAATAAACCGGGGTTGTGTGCACTTCTTACATTATATTAGTTGTGCGTCGTCACTGCCAGGGACGGAATTGTTCAAGGCGTCTTTGGAGACAATGACTGTTGCGAAACGACAGCAAAACAGCTGATTTTATGGATACGAATACCGAAGATAAACACCACAGTACAGTCTGCCCACATGATAAAACTTTGGGCTTCCAAAAACTGCTTTTTTTTCCCAACATAAGTTGAAAACAATTTTTAAACAAAATTATACTTGGACGACGATGATGACGGTTCCGTCATCAATTTTTATTTATTAAATTAAAATTAAGTAATTCTAAATGAATATTATAAATCAAAACAAACTGTTAACAATAATTATTGATTTATACTCACAGCACTACATGGGAATACAACAGATGAAGAAAACCATACTAGTCTCTCGGAGTACCATGATTATGAGCCACGATTGGAATTTGATGATTCTGAACTGACTCAAACAGCAGGCCTTGGTAAGTGTTTTATTTTTCAAATAGTACCAAAATGCGACCCAGGTTATTCATCGTTTTAATAAAATCATGCACATATATTTTTAGATTTTGATAAAACTTTGCATTCTTACTTTTAACTTCCCTTTAATGATCAGTTGAAGGATTTACTATTATGTTTATAAAGTTTTCCTAAATAGAATATTTTAACTTTTTCAGCATTTTGCTAATTACTTGCATAGTAGTCCACATTTGTAATCCATATTGTTTAAGAGCGTGCTCTGTTTAAAGCGGGGCACGGAACGGGCGTCCGCTCGGAGTGTTTATTTCATGTTATTTCATAGAGTAGTGAGGCGGGTGGGTCTATGACTTCGAGTTTCGCAATGTTTTTGTTATAGCGCCTCTGCCTCCGGAGCTGCTGGACATATCTGAAGAATTCCTCGAGCATTCGGCTAGCGATGGGACAATCGAGGAAAACTTTGAAGAAGAACTTGCACGCGCCCCAGAGGTGTATGCTGAGGTTATTTTTTTATTTTTTAAAAATTACTAAGTAATTGATTTTTTTTAAGTGCGAGCTACTTAAAGTTATTTTAATAACTAATTCTTACATCTATCGAATATAACTGTACGCACAAGCCACATTTAACGTTCAATCAAGATAAGGATTATGTAATTACTACCCACAGATATGCGGATCGTCGATGGATGACGATAACTTTGCAGAATTAAATGGAACAGGCTTGATAGAAGTAGTTGGCGACGACGAAATTGGGCGGCGGATCATTGTTGTATCCGCATGCAGACTGCCACCAAGCAAAGATATGCACCCTGACAAACTATTAAGGTATTTAATCACGTTCTGTACTGTTTTGTACCCTCTTGTGTATAATTTGTGACCAATTTGGGTGATCTGTTTGCATTGATGATGCTTGATGATTTATTTATCTCAAGAGCTTTATAACTTTGCGCAGTGTTTTTTTGTACCAAAAATGTGACATCCGCTTTTTATCGATCACTTAGACTCAATAGGTTATTGCAAATGCATGAGTAGAACAACTATACGGAATTGTCGCCAGGGTGTTCTACTCATGCATTGCTTGCAATTGCAAACACCCTGGCGACAATTGCGTATAGTTGTTCTACTCATGTATTTGCAATAACCTATTGAGTCTAAGTGATTAATAACATTTTTGGGGCAAATGAAACACTGCTTTGTAACCACTTAGCACGTTCAATCTGGGATCGTGGAACTTTAAAAACGTTCACAACGGTCGATCATAGAATGGGCGATCAAAATTTTATTATTTCAAGCTCCCCAATGCTGGAAGTTATTGGTCTTGACAGCATCTGCACACTGCAGTCTTTAACATCCAAAAATGTTAAAGTGTTTCATGCCTGTATCGATACTACGACTCTGTTTTACTCTTTCAGATATTTCATGTTCACTTTGGATAAATACGTGGAGCAAGACTACAGCGTTGTATACTTCCACTGCGGACTCACTAGTAAGAACAAACCTCCACTTTCATGGTTGTGGAAGGCATACAAGGCGTTCGACAGAAAGTACAAGAAAAACTTGAAAGCTTTATATCTTGTACATCCGACTAACTTCATACGGATTGTATGGCAGATGCTAAGACCGGCCATTAGCGTGAAGTTCGGAAGGAAGATGATGTATGTGAACTACCTGCATGAGCTAAAACAATATTTAAATTTGGAGAAGTTGTGCATACCGCGGCCAGTGCTTGAGTGAGTTCTTCTACTTTTTTTAGGTACTTTAAACGAACATTGCTTTCGTTTGAGATATTTTTAATAGGCTGAATTAAAGTGGTATTATTTAACTTTAGTATAAAGAAGATTTTGTTTTGTTTAATATAGGTTTTATTTCAAAAATGTGATCTATTTGATTAAAAAGCTTCTATTTTTCGTTACTCTTGCTTTAAAAATTTCTATTAAAGTACAATCAGTAGCTTTTCAATCAGTCAACAGCTTCTTTGTGTGCCGTGTCGTATTGTTAACACTTTGCTTCGATTCCCAGATACGATAGTCTGCTTCTATCTAAAAACCCCCGTGCGGCTGAAACTGCCAGAATGACAAAGGAGCGTTTAGAGAAACCGTTAGACCAAAGCGACGCAAAAGCCGAGCCTGTGGAGAGTCTGTCCCCTCCGCCCACCCAGCAGTTTGGTGTCTCCCTACAATTCATCAAGGAAAATAATCCCAACATGGTGGAGTGCATACCGCCGGTCGTTAGGCAGTGCGTCGAGTTCTTATCGCAGCCAGACGGTTGGTGATATACACTAATTGATTGTCAGATAACGCTTCAGGATATTGTGACTCGAAATAATTTTGATTAAACTACAGCTGTAGCTTTATAAAATAACTAGCTCAGAGCTACCCAGCGAACTTCGTACCGCCATAAAAATAGGGTCTGGTGGTAGCAGGGTGAAAATTTAGGGTTATATGTATTTTTAATGCTACATTATAAAAAAAATGTCCGAAAAATAAATGTTAGGAGTGGACAACCCTTATCACTTATGGGTATGAAGTTGGCCATAACAGGTACGTAGACAATTGATCCCTTAAAAACAAGTGTAGGTATAATACTCCTTAATTTTTAATCTTATTATTAATTAACCTAACTATAGTGGGGAACTTTTCGTGTACGACTTTTGCCGGTATTTTTACTTACAATTTCAAAGTAACAATCACATATCTACCTATACGACGTGTTATTGATGTGTTACGTCTTTCCTCTCGCTTTCCTGCAATTTGTGGGAGTGATTTCGTGAATTAGACGGAAGTGTGTAACAGGAAGTCGCGAAAGCACGCGCTATTTGATTTGATTTTAGAACATAATGTTCAAATGGCTTATTCCTTTTGTAGTAGGTTTTATTTCTTTTTTATTAATATAAGGTAAAGTTTCAAATATTACTCATCATACGCGACTACTGTAAGGCTCGCTCATTTATTTTTATTTAGCTCTAGAGACCGAGGGTATATTCCGTCGATCAGCGAACATATCGGTGATAAAAGAATTGCAAAGGGCATGCAACAGGGGTGAGCCGATATCTTTCAAGAACGACCCCCACAATGCGGCGGTGCTCCTTAAAACCTTCCTGCGGGACCTAGAGGAACCCCTCATGACCTTCGAGCTGTACGATGAGATACTGAAGTTTCAAAGTGAGTCACTTACACTTTATCAAATTTTATCATATTTTTTATTTATATAAAATGAGTAGTGTGATTATTATTAAAAATTGTGAATTACGAGTTGACTAGAAGATTTATAGTTATGGAAACACTGTCTTATAATGGGCATAGGATATATTCGGAAATGCAGTTTCTATTAAAATGTTCAACAGATTTAAATTTTTGAGACAATAAAAAATATAACAAAAATTTAATCTCCCCAACGTTCCGGATATAAAATCGGCTGTTAATAAAAAGTTAATACTCTCTTACGAATTACGCCATTTGGTAACCGGGTGATTCTCAGTTAAGATTAGTATATTTAAAATAAATGTTTATATATATTGTAGTATTTAAACACATAAATACGAAAAAAAAATACCAGGGTAAATACTTCGATCACTCAACACGGCTGCACTCATGTACCACTGTTGCGCAAATGGCCAAAAAAGTTGCCGCGCGGATGGCTTGTGCAGCGCTTGCTGCTAACTTCACGTTACACTCAGTGTCTTCAAAGGTCAAAACTACCACAGACTATGGTAAACAAATATGATTTTCAAACTAAACCTAAGGCCAGGGGGCGAGACACGAAACTCGGAGGACACAGTTTGCGATTAATATTTTTTATAAAAAGTGCAAATATAAATGAATTTAATGGTTACATACTGTAACTAAGTTATCAGGGTTCATGTTATTACCGATACAAAAGTAATAATTAAATTTCAATGGCCTCAAAATTACTGATTTACAAAAAAAAACGGTTAGGGGACAACCCAGGGGAGAGATGTTTTTCCTCTTTGTGCTGTTATTGTAAGTAAATTATGCACATTTAGAATATAATTTTAAGTGACAATTTAGAACACATTTAGTTAATTGAAATTATTAAGATTTTAGACCATAATTTCCAAATATAATGATTTTTTTTGGCTTAACCGTCGAACATAGCTCTTAACTGAGAATCACCCAACCACCGGCAAGCAGCCTACTATTGTTGCTCTATACTAATAATTTTCGTCGATCAAACAATCGAACCAATCAGCGCTCATACCCGAGAGCAACGACGCACCAAGTTTTAGTCATGTTGCCTGCGCCTGCCCCGCCCACAAGGCCCTAACCTCTTTCTTTCAAGGTATAATTAGGTCTCCTGAATCTCTTTTGAGATCAGGATTAGTATTAAGCAATTTTGACAAATTCAGGTCTCTATTGAGCCTGAATATAGGATAATTTATATAGGTTTTTTACTTAGAATTAGGACACTCTGCGCCTCTTTTGAGGGCAGACTTAGGCTAAATACTGACAAATCTGCACTATTGCACAAATTACTAATTGTATTTTATTGTATTATTTTACTTCGAATTAGATTTTAATTTTAATTTAAAATTAAAATCTGATATCGACAACCTGCTCCTTTTTTAAGGGCAGGCTTAGTGTTAGTAATTTGTTGTGTGCGTTAAAAATTCAATTTTGATTTTGACTGTGATATTGACACCCTGCACCTCTTTTGAGGGCAGGCTTAGCTTTAGTACCAACTGTTTGTGTGTGTTATAATTCTTAATTCTTAAGTTAATTTATACTGACAACCGGTACCTTTCTTAAGGGCAGTAAGCAATATTATAGAAATTGAATTCGAATTTGTCTTTTGACCCATTGTTTTATTTTATTCATTTTATTTTATTTTATTTTATTTTTAATCTATTGTGTTGTCTATTGACTCATTCAATTTTAATTTTAATTTAACTTATTTTAGCTTAGTTTTATTGAATTCATTAAATTGTCTATTGACTCATTAATTTATTCAATTTAATTTTAATTTTAATTCTTATTTTATTTAATTCAATTCGTCTTTTGACTCATTAGTTCGGATTCAGTTCAATTGTAATATTGCTTTATTTAATTTATTTACTAAATCGTCTTTTGACTCATTAATATTATCATTTTAATTATTATTATTTATTCGGTTTTTATTCAATTTTTTATTTTATTTTATTTTATAAATTATTTTACAATTAGACGTAGGCAAACCCACTCAGATAATAAACAATAACAAAGAAATAAGCAAAATGTATACTAGTAGCCAACCTATTTTTGCAAGGTTAAGATCCAACAATTTTGAAAGTAGACGTGCAGACTCCTCTCCCCAGGGGGAAATAGATAGTGATAAATCTCAAGCTCAGCCCACGATGAAATCGCCACAGAAATATAAGAACGTAAGGGAGTACGAAAGAAGAGCGAATGAAGCGCAAAGTAAAATAAAAGAACAAATGGAACCAAAAGGAACAAACAAGTCAGTAACAAGAGAAGGAAAGGCAAGGATTACGGAAGAGACGATTGAAATGGTAAAGATGATTAAAGAGCTAGTAAGTAGAGTAAGCGAGTCAGAAAGTAACAAAGAAAGAAGAAGAATGCAAGAGGAGGAAAGAAAAGAGAGTAAGAATGGCAAAGATGAGAAAGAAAGTGAAAGTGAGAATGAAAGAAGGAATAGTATGATAAAGATGTATGAAGGTATAATAGGAAATAAGGAAGAAATAAGAGTGAATGGTAATGTCCTAGCAGATATTATGGGAATACTGCTGGAGATTAAAGAAGAGGTAAAAGAGACGAGAGAGGAACAAAAGAAGTTTAACAAAATTTTAATAGAAGAAAAGGAAGAAATGAAAGTTAGTAAAAACAGGATAGAGAAAATGGAGAAAACGATGAGCATGCAAGTCGAAGAAAGCAAGTACATGAAAGAAGAACAAGAAAAGCTAAAAGAGATAATAATAGAAAATAATAGAGGGATAGAGGAAGGAATGGGAAGATTGGAAGTGATAAAAGAGATGCAAGAAAGAGTGGGAAAGCGAATGGAAGAAGAGCAAAAGAAACTGACTGAGCTGGGAACTAAGATAGAGGAAGAAAGAAAGGAAGAAACGTATGCGGAAAAAGTGAGAAGCGTTCCACCCCAAAACAAAACACTACATTCAATCATAGTGGCGTCGACCGACGAAACGCTCACGAGCGACCAGGTATTCGACGCGGTGAGGAAGTCGGTCGACGAAAAAGGGGAGTGGAACGAAGTGCGAAGAGTGAGAAAGGCGAAAGGGCAAAAGGTAATTATAGGGTGTGCAAGGGAAAGTGAGGCAGAGAAATTGAAAGAGAAGATCGAAAGGAACAAAATACTAAAAGTGGAAAGGGCAAAGAACAAAAACCCATTAGTAATAGTGAGGAACGTAAGAGGAGAGAGAAAGAAAGAGGAAGTGATAGAAGGGATAAAAAGAAAAATCGGAAGAATAAACAGGGAGGAAAGGTTTAAGGAAGAGGACATGGAAGTTATATATGAAAAGGCAACTAGGAATCCGCATGTGGCGCACGTGGTGGTCAGAGTGGCTCCCACAATTTGGCGGCAGCTGACAGATGCGGGGTCTCTTCAACTACAGTGGGGAATCTCCGCTGTGGAAGATCAGACCCCGTTAATCCAGTGCTCCCGCTGTCTGGGCTACGGCCACATCAGACGGGTCTGCACGGAGGCGCTGGACAGCTGCAGCCACTGTGGGGGGGACCACTTATACGCCGCATGCCCAAACAAAAATTCCGCTCCTAGTTGCCTAAATTGTAAAAGGGCTGAGTTAAAAGAGAATGAACACAACACCTTTAGCAATGCCTGCCCACAGAGAATACTCTGGGATAAAATTGCAAGAGCGAAGGTGGCATATTGCTAAGGGTGCTGTGGGCAACAACAGAACGGGGAGAGGAAAAAAGGAGCAGAAAGAAATATATAGGGTAGAAAAAGGAACTTGGATAAAGACAACAAAATATATTGAAAAGAGATGGCATTGGTTCCACTTTCTTGAGGAAAGAAGGGAATCAATATTAGGGATAAGACTGCTGAAGCCCCTTCGTGGAACAAAGCAGGGAGTGCGAGTGGAGGCCAAAGGTAACCACGGGGCCAAAACAAATGGAGGCAAAAAATTATTTTTTGAAACTCCACTTGCGGAGGCATACCGGGCTCTAGAGGCTACCACCCAAACTCGGAAGGTAAAAAGTGACCACGGAGGGACTCCAGCAGTAAAAATAGAAATAAGTAAATATTGTAAATAAAATAAAGCAAATGTAAATAGGATAAGTAGTATACAAACGACAGTCTAAATAAAGACAAAGAAATGTAGCAAAGAAAATATAAGAAAGTGAATGTAAATAGATTAAGGAGAAAATTGTAATCAAACAAAAAAAGGAAATAATAACTTAAGAAAATAATTGTAAAAGTCAAAATGAATCTAATAAGAATAGTATCTAATGTAAGAGAAAAGTAAATTATAGAATAGAAAACAGCAGTGACTTATAAGAATCTAGATAAATTATTAAAATTGTAAGAAAATAACAATGTAATAGAAAATAGGAAATGTAGAAACGTTAAGTAAAAATAATAAAAACGAGAAAAGAAAAACTCGAATATAAAAATACGAAGTAGAGAAAAGAAAAACTCTAGAAAAGAAAGAAAACCAAAAAAGCATAAAAAAGTCCTGACACTGAGTGGGGAAGCCGTAAAAAAAAAAAAAAAAAAAAAAAAAAAAAAAAAAAAAAAAAAAAAAAATCCTCTTTCTGGGTTCTGTGGCGTGCTACATGCTACAGTATTGGATATTATGTATGAGGGTTTTAAGTCCACTGATTCTGTTACGTTACTTCTACAGCACTTGCAGCTGAATACCCAACGCTATTAAATACTCTAGATGTATCAACACGAACATAATCGTGTCCGAAACCTGTCCAAAAGATACATTGGACGATGCACGGAGCTCCGTAAGATGATCGCGTAGTCAAAAACAATATAAGGCATTAATTAAACATTGAAAGTCTCCTTTATTGCATACTGTATAAAGTCTGAATTAAAACGCATGCGTCAGAGTTATGACAGTTCGAAATGCAAGCTCGTAAAATTTTACGACCTATTGTTAAATGCGTAAGAATAAACACTTTATTTCTTTGACTCTACGCGCAATTCTGAATGCGCTGTTAGCAATATAGCAGGTACGGACCGCGAGGAAAAGAGACGGCTATTATATATGACCATGCATTTAAATTCACAAATATTATCTATTTAATCAGTATATAGTAAGTATTAGAACAATATTTGCTTCAAATGCGTTAAATTAACAAACATTGATTAGATACCTGTCGAAAAAACGACACTTTACGTACTATAAGTATTTATTTCGCATTTTTTCATGGAGCTCTGCGGCATCTTGACTTTTCAACGGTCCGCGTGTGACTGTAGACCAACTAGTGCTTGAGTGGTGTTCTAGCACTTCTTGATTGGGACACATTTTGAGCGCACGAGTTGTATGTAGGGTATTTAATATCGTTGTTGGTGCCTTATTCATCTGTGATGAGCAGATGGCTTGCTACAACATTGTATATTATTTATAAGGGTTTTAAGTTCACTGATTCTGTTATTATGTTTTGTGTGTATATCATTTCAGCTTGGTCTCACCGAGATAAGCCCAGACAAGTCAAAATTCTGATATTGGAAGGCATACCTTCGGATAATTATAGACTCCTGAAATACATCATCAAGTTCCTATGGAAGGTTAGTATGATATTATCATCTAGGTATATAAATAAAATTCAATTGCCTCACGAAATTATAAAAGTTCAGTAGCAGAATAAAATTTTTAAATGGACTATATTTTACGTAGTAAATAGAACTTAAAGAACAATTCAAAGTATCCATAGTAATTTTGGCTTAATATAAAAATTTTCACGGACAGCTTTAAAAAAATATTTTAATTGTGTGTAGTTTATAATAACTTAAACATTTCCAGATCATTAGGAATTCTAAAGTTTTAATAAAAAAATACTTAGATAATACAAAAATGAAATTTTGAGGTTATCTCAATTTGATCACCGTGGCGGAGTGTCTTCCACACCGATTTTTATGGTGACGCCTTATCTGAGTTCCCAGGTTCGCTTCTCTGTCTCATTAACCCAGAAGAATAACCATTTTACCTGGTCTCGGGTATCTGTTTGAGGTACCTAGGTAGGTACTTTACTAGGTGGTAGACTAATGCTGGTATTTTATATGCGCATTGTGGTAGACCCAAAGTAGGGTCGTCGTGTAGGTAATTACAATTATTAGTAATACATTTCGATGATTATGCGAAACATTTTAACAAACGTAAAAATCGACTGATTCAATGAGTGTCATTCACTGTTGCTGTATTCTTTAAAATTATCAGAAGGTCTGTCAACGCTAGTCACGTCGTCTCGGAATTTTATGCCTATGCTTTTTATTTCAATAAATCAGAGAGAAACGAAACCGTAATCTGACGTTTTGTGTACGGGGAGGTTGCACAGGTAGAAGTTCTTTCCGTAAATAGAAATGTGTGTGGCCAGCTTTAAATGCAGATTATAATCAGGTAGCAGCAAACTGGCAACACAATTTATTTTTGTTAGATTTCCGGTCAGCTATTTGTTTATTAATGAATTAATTCTATTGGAGAAGTTCTCGAAAAAACAATGTAATTTTAAACCTTCGAATTGTTTATGTTATTTATTGTATGTAAAAGACATGTGTCCGTGCTATTTTAAAATTAAAAGTTTTGTAAGCCTGAATCTGGCATTGTTCTTTGTTACAAAGCAAATGTGTCTATCTGTCCGCAAGTTCGAGATAGTAAATGTTTGTGCAACCTTCCTATGACCGGATACCGGTGGCATAACTTGTCTCCAAAGCCCAGAGAAGTTCGAGATAGTAAGTGTTTGTGCAACTTTCCTATGTCCGGGTACCGGTGGCTTAACTTGTCTTCCGAAGCGCTGAGAATTTCGAGATAATAATTGTTTATGCAACCTTCCTTTGACCGGCCAATGCGAAAGTTGCATAACCTCCCGATTGCAGACCTTACGCGCAAACCACAGCGCCATCGAGATTCTCGGTTCGGGTATAATTGAATAGGTATTTTTTGTATTACTACCTACTTATTTAAAGAATATAATGGCGTAGGTGGACAACGCGGTAGACCAGCGATCGCGGAGGTTAAGCAACTTTCGCAATGGTCGATAATTGAAAAACCTTATTATCTGGAGCTCATCCGTGTTTCAGAAGGCACAATAAGCTCTCAGCTGCATTTGCAGTCGTTAGCACCCACCAATCCGCACTGGCCTATGTGGTGGGTCATGGCCCAATCTCCCTATTTCATCCAAAGGGAAGGCCTGTGCCCCAGCAGTGGGGACATTAATAGGCTGGTGATGATGATGACTTATTTGAATTATTGACATGGCTTGTATACAGGTCCAGGACCGGAGTTGCCTAAACAAGATGACTAGTAGCAACTTAGCCGTCGTGTTCGGACCAAACTTGGCTTGGCCGCCAAAAGGGCAAATGTCACTGCAAGCCATCGCACCAATCAACGCGTTCACAGACTTCTTACTTGAGAACCAAGAGTCCATATTCATCCTCTGAACTTAACCAGCACGTAATGTAGGTATTTTTATGATATTGCGGAAATGTATTTTTATTTATAATTTTAATATTTCTGTGTATTAATTATTCATAATCTAAAATAATGGGTTTGAAATATTTTTAAAGTTAATTACAGCTTGCTGTTTCTTCGAATTCCACTCGTTTAATTTTCTTTATTATTTGTAATGAGACGTCGATAAATTATTCATTAATTTCATAGTATGAAGAGTATTTCTATTCTAATGTCGTCGTTGTCCCATTGTATTTGTGTTGATTTAAATAACATTTGTGTACTTATGTAATAAATAAATATTAGAAGATATGTATGTATGGGAGGGTAGGTATGCTTTAGAATCTGTAGTTGCTTATGCGACACAAAGAGTACTCTATTGGAGATCTAGATAAACATGGAACTATTTCAAATGTAATTTTTTCATATATTAATAATTGATTGATTTAAATTTTATGGCATCAATACCTTTTATTTATGTATATTCGCAACGCTATTTTTAATTTAAAGCCAAATCATACCTTCGAATCTTACAATTAGAAATATTCAATAAAATATGTATTGACAAATTATGAATTTCAAGGGTTAATGCTGAGTTCACATACTAAAGGGGCCGCTACAGTTATTACAGTATAAACTTGTGTTGGGCTCCAAATAGAAAATACCGTCAGATAAAAATGCGACTAAATGCATCTGCACAAAAGATATGTTATTTGTGTAAACATAATGAAAAAAAAAGTTTACGCCGTTGATATCAAAAAAGTCCAGTCGGAATAAACATGAGACCTATTCTAAGACACCAGCGCTTAGCCAATTTTTTCCTAGATAGTATAGACCCCCACGAATATGCCCTCCATTTGTCCCCGCTAGAACCCGTGTTTTGTAGCCAGGAAAATTGTTTAAACAAAAAAAAAAACGGTTTTTTTGAGTTTTTTTGCTTGTAAACGGGGATTTTGAAAATTTTTTTGAATCAAAGTTGTTCATTAGCTTGCCCTCTACAAAATCAGTTCTATGAAAAAATAACGTGAGATTGTTAGTTTAGCAGTAAATTGCAATTATGTCTTTTTTACGTTTGCAACAATTCAACATGTTATAATAAACATTTTGATTTCTAAAGTAGTTTATCATGTGGGTAACGCCACTCCCAAGAGAGTCATGTAAAATTTATCGACCTGTGTCGCAAACTTTAGCAACAATTCTCAATCTCCGAAAAAAAAGTACTTGCCTGTCCCGTCTTTCCCAGAAGGCGCACAGCGGGGAAAAAAATTCAGGTGATTCGATTCATTTCATTCAAAAAAATAAATTATTCTACGTCAATTTTAAAAAAAAATTTAAATCGTCCAAAAACGAACATTTTTATTAACGATTTTTTTCTACTCGATCGATTCCTCAAAATTCTTGGTGAATCGAATCACCTGATTTTTTTCCCCGCTGTGCGCCTTCTGGAAAAGACGGGACAGGCAAGTACTTTTTTTTCGGAGATTGAGAATTGTTGCTAAAGTTTGCGACACAGGTCGATAAATTTTACATGACTCTCTTGGGAGTGGCGTTACCCACATGATAAACTACTTTAGAAATCAAAATGTTTATTATAACATGTTGAATTGTTGCAAACGTAAAACCGACATAATTGCAATTTACTGCTAAACTAACAATCTCACGTTATTTTTTCATAGAACTGATTTTGTAGAGGGCAAGCTAATGAACAACTTTGATTCAAAAGAATTTTCAAAATCCCCGTTTACAAGCAAAAAAACTCAAAAAAAACGGTTTTTTTTTTTGTTTAAACAATTTTCCTGGCTACAAAACACGGGTTCTAGCGGGGACAAATGGAGGGCAAATTCGTGGGGGTCTATACTACCTAGGAAAAAATTGGCTAAGCGCTGGTGTCTTAGAATAGAAGTCGGTCCAAATTATGGCTATTCCGACTGGACTAAAATGTATTATCAAAGTACTGAAAACTTGCTATTATTTTTAGTTTCCAGAGACTGTCTTTGACATCGCATCTTACAGCTGTTTCTCGAATTTAATATCTTGAACGGAGCTTCCACCGCCACGATCCACCTTCAGACTGTCTACTACGAGTTTCAGTTTAAGAAAACTTCCATCGCCTCGATTCCGCTTGAGGCCGCTGCTGCACAATGTGCGGAGAAAAAGAGATAAACATAGTTATTTGAATTCTCGATTTGCATACCGTTCACACATGCTGTAGATACAAATTGCAGTTAGTAAGGGAGGCAAGTGTAAATTAACTATGACACAAATAGATTTGATCATGCATGATCGCGAAACGACGTCAACAAACACATTCTGTGTTAGATAAAAAAAACTTCATTGATGCCATTTTATCAATGGCCATTGTGATTATGTACCTAGTTTTGGTCATTTATAATGATGAGGATGACCAAACGGAAACTATAAACATAATAAAAATACATATTCTGGATAATGTTATTAAGTTTATTACTAAATGTATGGTTCAATGTTATAGGTTATTGTTGCTTTTTTTAATGGGGTATTTTAATTAATAATAATTTTAGAGTAGGCACTAAAATGTATACCAAAAATAACAAAGAGAATCTAGGCTAAAATTTTTAATTATTGATTTATTTATTTATACACCTCAGACTTTGATATCTTTTTTGTTTTATTATTTTTTTATGTTTAAGTTTGTATATACTTACACATTGAAAATTATATGTTTTTATTTAATTACATAATTAAGTTATTTTATCATTGTAACTTTTTAAAGGGAGTTTTTAATTCAACAAACGCAATATTACAGGGATGCCATTAATCACTGCGTATCGTGATAATTTGTATTACTACCCCTTTAAAGATATAGTACGGTCAACGAGAAGCGAAACAAAAGTTAGTAAGCGACAGTTTAATAACTATCTCTTTCATCCAAGGAACTTATATACTAACTGGAATGCTTACGAAACAATATGGGAATTCAAAAAAAGTACTCTAACTAGTTATACATAAAGTCCATTTTTATTTCTACCTTAATAAGGGGGAAAACTACTCCTAGCGCGACATGACGAAAGTGGAATCTGTCCCTCTTGCAACTGTTTGGGCACACTACTAGAACGAGACAGATTCCAACAATTCAACTATGTTCTTTGAACGATTTTAAAGGTCGCGTAAGCATTCCAGTTATTATATAAGTTCCTTGCTTTCATCATATATATGACATAAGGTCTCTTTCTGTCATGTCACATCATCGCCGAGGCGCCGAGTTTACAGTAAAAAAAAACGACGGGTTGCACTCCGGGAATGCCGGCAGAAGTGAAAACTTGAATATTAACGTTGTGCATTTTGATATTTTGGAATGGTTAGAGAATAATTAGTTAATTTTGCACGAATTGCTTTAATTATCAGTATAAAAGTACTATCCTTTATGTGCTAGAATACAATATTTATTTATTACGCTACCTAAAGCTTAAGCGTACCTAGCGACGTCTATTGTAAAAAATGCATTTTCTTCGCAATACAGCTGCCACCTGGACGTCCTAATTAGAGACTTATTATTATAATACGATAAAATAAAATATTACTATGTTTCGTCCAATATATTGAAAGTCAACAACCTTTCCAATTTTATTGTTTTCGTCTTACGTCAAGACAGGAACATCAGGACGTCAGGACTGACGCGATCAGGTCACGTGTCCTGACGCGAGTTCAACAGTTTTTACCCATTACAAAAAAGTGTACAACGCCGCTAAAGAAGTTTTCACTTCAATAATGACATATTTTCAATTCGTTTCGGGTCTTTCTGATACTAGTCATGGTAATAATATTTTTTTTTTAGTTGGCACTATGAATGAATATTTTGCACATTTTATTTAAATATATGCTTATTAAAATGATAAACGTCCTTTATTAACATTCATAAATAAATGTAATTTTAAAAAATGTTGCCAATCCCCGCATTGGTTAATGACCTTTCGTCGACTTTGTTTACATTTTGTACAGCTTCTCGTTGGCCGTACTTTGGTGATTACTTGGTTTCATAGAATAAGATAAAGTAAACGAACGGAAAATATCATGACACCTAATACTTTTAGAAAGAAAATTCACAAAAATATTTATCTTATCAAATAGACAGGAATCCTGAAGGATTCAAATTATTTGTTTTTATATCCCCCTCATTTATTACAAACCTTATTTATCTTTACTTGATCAATTTGTATTAGTCACGTGAATTCGCTCTATTCGTTCGTACCTTTGAAGATAATCAAATCCTTCCACTTATTCCTTTTTTTCCACTAATTTGCTGATCTCGAGATTTATTAATTAACCATTCCAAATTTATTTAGCGCATGGTTTTGGTGTTTCTCGTATAAATAAGTCAAGTTATTAAATTGCTTTTATTTCACATACACACACTATTTAGTTTAAAGAAGATTGTTGTCGATTCTAGCATGCATGATTCTCTAAATTAAACTTAAATTTGACAACAGTGTATATTAGTCATTCTCTATACAGAATAAGAGACTGATGTTCAATTTAGTTTTATTATATTATGCCAGAATCGTCACCATTAACTGTCTATACACCGTGTTCCTGAGGATATACATTAACTTTGAATAATACTTCTATAGCTCTTGTTAAACATATCGTCCAAGGAAAATAGTAATTTAAATAGCATAGTTTTTAAGTTATTGGTAATTTAAGTTTAACCAACTTAATTGTGTTGTGCAGTAAGAAAGAGTCTTTAATCTGTGAGATGTTGTCACTTTGTGCAACCAAAACCATCAAACTATCAACTCTTTGTCAAAGGTCATTAAGTCATAGTTTCAAAAGTCAAAATTTTAAAAAACATCGTTGACGTCAAGGAAAACTTTCAAAAAGTTTATGTGGAAATGTGAACCAAAGTTTCAAATGCGACGTTGTCAGCTCAGGTAGAGTAATTCATATAAGATAAATTACATCTAAGCATTTAGTTTGTATGAAAATAAAAAATGTTAAAGAAATTGGAATTCAT